AAATCCACGTGGGATCTTCACTCCTGTTTTAGTGATGCTGTGATCACCCATTCAGGCGCTGCGGATGTCTCCTAGATGCTTTCTCCAGTTTGGGGGACTTTGTAACATTCCTGCCCGAGGCTGGGTGCTGAGCAGCAGTGATAGATCGATATCGGCTGTTGGTTTTAGCTTGTCCAAAATGAAAGATCAGGAACCGAGAATCCTTCAAAATAGAGACGAGGCACATAGCACAGTCTGATGGCACCAATGCCCTAGTGTCAAGGGCACCAGGGCCAGGAACTATGTTTCTAGAGCTACTGGCCTTTGCTTTCTGAGCAGCCTCTCACATTTTCTGGGTTGGGAGGTAATCAATATGCTCAAGGAGCTGGTTATTAAAGATGAAAGACCTTGTTTGACGTCAGCATTAAAATATGTATTTAAAAGACAATTCCCCTTTCAAAATCACAATCCCCACAAGAATCCTTCGCGCACTACATCTTTAAAGTGCTGTACAAACACCAACTAATTAATCCGAACACCCATGGGATGGAGGCATTCAGCACCCCAGCGCCCACACACGCGCACCTCCAAAATGCCAACACTACACACACATCCCAGGGCAGAATCTCAGCTGGAGTGAAGCGGGAAAGCTCCGCTGATTACAATGGCATTATGCCGGTTGACACCAGCTGAGGTTGCAGATTAAAGCCACCAACCCACCAAACCCCGATATGTACCTAGGAACACAGCCTCAGTCACATAAGCAACCACAGAGTTTCAGGTCAGAAGGGACCACCACATCATCCATCTGATCTCCTAGCCCAGGCCACTAAACACCACCCAACAGACACACACCAAGCCCTGCAACCGAATTAGACCGAAGTATTACAGCCCTCAGGAGACTGAAGTATTGTGTGCCACAGGCAGAGAACAGGAGGGACCAAGTTGCATCAATGCCTGAGGCCCCTTTGTGACAGGATGCCCCCATTTTAGGCTCTGTTGCCTTGGTTCACTGTCCTTTTGGAAGAGAAGACCAATGCATTTGGACCTCCATGGGTTGCCTTGAGAGACCTCCCAGGAACCAGCGAGACTTGGTCCTCCAGCAGCTAGAAAAGCTGGGAGCAGGCAGAGGCCAATCAAATACATGCCCTGCCTCAGGTGTGTCTGGGACATTTTCCAACACACCTGTGAATGCACACCCACTTGCTGCTTAGAACGTTTGCAATGCTAACGCTGTCATGCCTCCAAGTCACTACTGTCCGGCCCTGTGGTGAACTGAGCCTCCTGCTTGTAGGCTAAACTCTATAGATTTTATAAACTCTCCCACTCCCCGCTCCCACTTGTCTGTTTCGTCCACCTGTTGTGTCCTGTCTGATGTCTTCTTCTTTCCACTGTTTGTACAGCACCTAGCACAAGTGGGGCCTGATCCTTCCTTAGAGCTTGTAGGCACTGTGGGGATATAAATACTAGCAAAGAAAAGGCTCCACACTTGTGTAAAAGACACACACACCACACTCCAACTCGTTCACATCTTCGCATAAGCTCAACCATGTGCATGCCAACCGCTCTGAACACACACAGCCCTGCCCTTGAACACACACCTACACGCAAAACACAACTCTCCTGCTACACAAACACGAGCAAAGTCAGACCCCCCCCAAACACCCACTGACACATACGCCTCACCCAGTCCGAAACACCTGCCCAGCACCACTACACACAGGGCAGAATTATAAGTAGTGACTGTCACCTTGGACTTCCCACCTCAACTGTGCTACGTTCACTACAGCGACTAGCCACGTGCTGGGAGGAGATGGTGAAAAATGAACGCCCCAAGCCTTCCTGTGATGGTCGCCATCAGCGTTCCTGTCTTGAGAGCCACAGGCAATCGTGCCAGCCACTGCACCACTTGTATCACACTAATCAAGGCATCCGTCATCCGGGCCATGTTTATTACTGAGGTGACGCTGCCGCAGGGCCCCAGCTGAGCCAGCTTGCTCTGCCTTGAACTTGTCTCATTCTCCTTTATTACTGAGTGGTGTCTCTCCTGTCCCGTGCTGCACAATCCTCCACCATCACCTCCAGCTAAACAGCCGAGCTCTGTGAAAGCCCTGTGGCATCGTGCAGTCCATTAGGTGAGAGGCTAGGATGCCAGCATCAGGCTGGTTTCCATTTTAATTGCCAGGGACAGAGTGTGCATTAAATCCAGCTTGATTGAATCATGAAGAGTCTGCTTGTCCCTGCTCATTTATCAGAGAGGCAGCTGCTGTGGGAGTCAGACAGGGGCTGCACAGGTGCCTGTGCACCAGCCGTGGGGCCAGTGGGAAGGGAACGCTGCCTGAAGAGGTTGATTTGGAAATGTTCGGGATGGCACAGGGCTGTATGCAACCCATGCTCGGAGAGTGGCTGACTGTGCAGAGACCCCCCGTCCCCTCGTCCAGCCTGCCCTCGTCCTTGCTCCGTGCTGGGCTCCCTTTGGAGCGCCCCAGCTGCTCGGTTCACAGCGTCCCTTCCCGAAACAATGGTAACTCTCTGGTGACGTAGGTTTTGCGTTCTCCCTTCCAGTCTTAAGGCTCTCCGAATTACCGGTATTTGTTATCTGTACTGCAGCAGCGTTGAGAGGGCCCACATGGAGATCAGGGCCCCGCTGTGCTAGGAGCTGTACATCCACATAACGAGAAGAGAGACAGACCCTGCCCCAAAGAGCTTGCAGTCTAGCCAGACAGGCCACCCACTCACATTGGGGCGTGCCAGCAGGGTCTGTCACTGCCGAATCTTTATGGGAGGCCGCGCTGCCTCTCCAGCAGCACTACCTTTGAGGTGAGGCACTAATGCCCAGCCTACCCAGATGGCACCATGATTGGCAATAAGCCCCTGGTGGCCTGCACACTTCTCTGCTGCCAGGCAGCAGTTGCTGTGCAAAGAGGCTTCTGTGGGAATGATCTGTCTCACCAGCCTGTGCGTGGAAGCAGCAGTGAAAGTCAGGATTCAGGACCAGGGCTCGGTACCGTCCTCCTCAGGCTGGCACAGAGTCACAGATTCCAAGGCCCGAAGGGAGCCCCGCGATCTTTTGGTCTGATCTCCGGCACAGAACTCTAGAAGCCATGGAAGCCCTGTGGCGGAGCGCCTCCTGCTGATCTGTAGCAAGCCCTGCAGGGTGACCACCGTTGGGACTCTGGAGCAGCGGTTCTCAAACTTATTTGATTGCGCCCCTCCTTCTTTGTGTCTTCAGCTGTTTATATCCCTGAAGTACATATACTGCTGCTCAGCTGTGAAGGCAGACTTCTGTCAGTAGGGAGTCTATCACCAGGAGGCAGAGGAAGTAACTCAGGCCTGCCTGGACTAGAGTTCATTGGCAAAGACTGTCCCACTGCTGGTGACCCCGATGCAGCGCGACCCGGGGCTAGCAGTAGCGGGAGTCCTGTCTACACAAGGGCTTGCACGGTTTCCTCCCCCGGAGGAGCTTGTTTGGGTTAGCCAGGGTGGGGAGGTTTTGCCACTTAAATACAAGTGTAGATTAGGGTGACCAGATAGCAAGTGTGAAAAACTTTGACGGGGGCGGAAATTGGGACGGGGGTGGGGGGTTAATAGGCGCCTATATAAGAGAAAGCCTTGAAGATTGGGACTGTCCCTATAAAACTGGGACATCTGGGGCTCTGAGGACTGTCCTGGAGAAACCACCAAGCCTTGTGCGCATTGCATCCGTGATCTCAGATGCTGTCCCTTTTATTTCTGATGAGGCTTGGGATTTCTGGGGCACTGCACAAAGCACATCACAAAATCTAAGCAAGCCTGACCACCCTCTGAGAGGTGGGAGTTATCCTCCCCAGCTTACAGAGGAGACACTAGGAAAGTATGTGTCTTTCTCGGGGCCAAATGGCTAGTCAGTGGCGGAGCTGGGATTAGAACTGGGGATCCTAACTTCCCCTGCCACATGTCCTTTTCTGAGACTAGAGAAGAAGCAGGAGCAAGACTTTCTAGAAAAGGTACCTTCAAATTCATTGGACCTGCTCTCAGGGGCGTGGGTGTGTCCTTGAGACCTGCCTGCTCCCAGGCTCCAGCTGCGCTGGGGAAGTGCCGGCCGGGGGCGCAGGGTCTGGGGGCTGCCTGGCAAGCCCTGAAGCCGGTAGCGCTGGGGCAGCCCTTTCCCCGTGGCTGGGAGTGGGAGGGAGGAGGGGGTGGAGTTGGGGCGGAGCTAGGGGTGGGGAAAGGGGCAAGGCCAAGGCCCGTGGAGGGTCCTCTTTTTTTATTTATTAGATATGGTAACCCTAGACACCCTGGATTCTGTTCTGCCTAGTGTCTCGCCAACCACACTGTCAGCTAACTTCTGATGGGGGCTCTTCATTCCAGGGGGTGAGATCAGAGGCAGCCTGGCTGGATTTTTCACATCTAAGGTGGGCTGGCAGGGCTCAGGAAAACCATTTTTGGTTTTTGGGCTGGGGAACGGCGCCATCTTGATCTGGAGTCACCAGGCCAGATCCTGATCTCAGTTCCACCAGTGTACGTCCGGAGCCACGGCAGGGAAGGCTAGCAGGATCTGGCCCATTAAAAGAGACTGCAAAGTTTCAGCTTCCTAATATAATTTCTAAAGAGGTGCCAGATTGTGCAACTGTTACTCACGATGGGGAGCATTTACACAGCCAAGCAGCTCTGAAGTCCGGACAGGGACAGCTCACCACCATGAGCAAGAGCAGTGCAATCTGCACTTGGCATTCTTGTCTGGGCTTTCTGCTCTCATTACGAGCTTTACTGCTCCGCGGTACCGTCCATTTATAGGCACGGTGGTTAGTTTACATTACCCATGCCCAGATCATCAAATAATGACTCACTTCCCTATCTGGCACAGGACTGACCTTCCTTGTGTCCTGTGGATTAAAGTTAAGCTGGACAAGTTAATATGGATTCTTGTCATGGTCACACAGGTCCCCCTCCTTCTGCTGAAGTCAATGTGAACCTTGCCCAGCAAGGGCCCCAGGTGCCGTAACGTAGGGTATGTGTGGGGGGAGGTTTGCTATACTTACAGATTGTACCAGGACGTCTCCCACTTTCTGCTTCTCATGCCAGTTCTGCACACAGTTGTGGACCTGCTCCAGGAATTGCTCGTGGTGCTCCAGCAACTCGGGGATCTGGTCGAATATCTCGTCCACCAAGGCCGGGTCGCAGAGGATCGAGTTTTCTGGTTGCTTCAGGGGCTTCATGTAACCCTACAAAAATAATAAGAACAAAAAAAATATCAAAACAACCTATCGGCGGAGCCAAGGACAGGATGGAGTCTAAGGGCATCTACGCTCCTCAAGTTACGCTGTGGGGTTCATCAAACTAGTGTGGACTAAAAAAATCACTGCCCCACTGTAATTAAAACCCATTCCTGCCCCCCAAGAGTGAGTCATAGCAAAAGGAAGCACCTGTGCCTCAGTTTCCCCACCTGTAAATGGGATAATTATTACTCATTTATGCAGAGTATTCTGCGATCCTTACTGGAAAGGCTATAAGGTGGTTTTTAACAGCGGCGTGTCTCAGCTGGTTTGCCACCCCAGCCGTTTACAAATTTAATCTATCAAGTGAGAGCCACATTCCTGTAAAAATCTCCCCTCGCCGTTCCACGGCTGTAATCTAGCCAGAATTTCCAACACAACCCAATGATGGCGCTTGCTGACAAGAGACTCCATGTAAACTAGCCAGAGACAAAGTACAAAGGAAATGTGCTCAGAGTTTATGGGCTTCGTAGTCACTCACAGTCCAGGGATACTAATGAAACAAGTAACTGTGCCGTGGAACAAATGAAATGCTCTTGTGGTTTAGCCCACCACTCCTGCTCCACCTCTCTCCTTTCCCACCCCGGGGAAGTGACGGAATCAATGTGGTGCTGTTTACAACAGTCCACCTGGCAAGAGTTTGGGATGGCTGCATGGCGCGCTGCTCCCGCCTGGTTCATTTGGAGGTACTGCAGTCCAGCATCTGTGGCCTACTCTGATGGCTGCTTGGTGCTGCACATGTAGGGCCTGATCCTGAGATATCACTGGGGGCTGAGGGCATGCCGCACCTTACAGGATCAGGCCCTCACATGGCACTTGACAGACTAAGGCCCTGCCCCTGCTGAAATCCATGGAAGTCTTGCCATTGAATATATACACCTATCTCATAGAACTGGAAGGGACCCCAAAAGGTCATTGAGTCGAGTCCAGTCCCCTGCCTTCACAGCAGGACCAAGTACTGTCCCTCACAGATTTTTGCCCCAGATCCCTAAATGGCCCCCTCAAGGACTGAACTCACAACCCTGGGTTTAGCAGGCCAGTGCTCAAACCACTGAGCTATCTCTCCCCCACCCAATCAATGGTAGTGGAATGTAGATATTCAGGAAAGCCTTGTAGTCAATGGGAGATGCAGCCTGGAGTGCCGCAGCTCTCAGGATCTGCCCTACAGGGTAAAGGCACTTACCCCATCCACACAGCCTCGGGGTACATCTACACGGCAATGTAAGCCTCGGCTTAGTGGAACTTGAGTCAGTGGACGCTGGGTTAGAGAACCCAGGGCTTGAGCATCTACACTAACTGTCAACCCTAGGTCAAGAATTTTCTAACCCGGACCCAAAACCGGGGCTCTAGCCTCCGCACTGCAATACGCAGGCTTGAGTCCAACCAACCATCTCCCAGACTTCCTAGCGCTCTCTCGAAATGTGGCCTTTCTAGCCCTTGATTCGTGGTGCAGTGTAGGAAAACTTGACGGTACACCAAATTGGATTGTCCAGAGGGCAAAGAAATTTGGCCCGTGGGATACTTTTGGTGGAGTCCCAAAGCATGAGTCTACTGGGGCTGTGTCTGCACCGCAAAGCAACAGGGCTTAAACCCTGGGTCCTGGCTTAACTCAGGCTCAGACCCTCACCCCCACGGGGCCTCGGACCCTGGGTTAGTGTGATTTGTGTGTAGACAGAAACGGGATTAGGCCTGAGCTTGAGTTCGAACTCTGGGTTTACATGGCAGCGTAGACATCCCCTTACAGACTAAGGCCTGGATCACGGCCCACTGACATCTGTGGGAGTCTTTCCACTGACTGGTGTGGGCTGTAGATCAGGCCCTAAGCTGGACAAGACAACGGATGGAGCAGCAGGTGAGCAGACTATTGGCGTGAGGAGGACAGGGCGGGAAGGAGAGGCGGTGGATGCCTGGCTCAGGGGTCAGCAGGGCAGAAGTTCAAAGCCGGCAGTGGGAGGGCAGTCAGATGAGAGGATTGTGGGGTGTGGAGGGGTAGGGGAGGTGCTGAGAGCAAAGATGGAGGCAGGGAGATGATGGTGAAGAGCTTGTTGGGTCTTGTCACAGCTCCTCACCTCAGGAACCAGGCTGAGGGCAGTTCCTTGAGGCCGGGGACACTGACTCTCTGTGCTATACAGCACCAAGCACATTACCCATGCTCACCAAATAAACCACCCCCTCAAAAATCTGAACTCCCACATACACTTTGGGGGGAGGGGGACTGTGAATTCCAGACCAGAACCCGAATCCCAGTTTCAAGATGACAGCCCCTCCTACCTCCCTGACAAGTCGAACCAGAACTCCACATCGCCACACCCTCAAATCTAGTGGCGGGTTTGAAATCCAGACTCAAACCCAGATCCAGGTTTTGTAGCTTGGCTCGAACCTCTAGTTCAAGAGGTGGCCGGTCTGGCAGCGGACACCAGCAGGACTTCTCATGTGTACCATTGTAAATCACCAATAACGTCCCCAAAGTCAACGGCGGTATACAGGGTAAGAGGAAGTCTCCAGGGTGCTGGGGTGGGATGGTGAGGGGGAAACTGTACTTGGGGTGACTGGCCCAGCCTGCCACCTGTGCTGCTAGGGCTACACGTCTGGTTTTAGCCTGTTTGCTCGATCCAAGTGAGTGCACATCCCTGAGCTGGAAATCACACCTCCAGCTCCGACACAGACAGACCCAGGAACTGGTGTAACTGCAAGGAGTGGCAGGCCCGTGTTATTCAGTTCTCCACCCCACTGAGTGCCACCAAGAAATAACAATGGAATTACAGCCAAAGGTGGGCTTATGGACTATACCAACGTTAAGGATGGCGAGTCCTATTTGTCGAGGTCCCAGCTGAGATCAGGGCCCCAGTGTGCTAGGCGCTGTACATACACAGAACGAGAGACAGGCCCTGCTCTAAGAGCTTACAGGACGGACAAGTGGTGAGGGGGAAACTGAGGCACGGAGCGGTCAAGTGACTTGCTGATGGTCACGCACCAGGTGAGTGGGACAGTCAGGAATAGAAGCCAGGCGTCCTGAGTTCCTGGCTAGTGCCCTACCTCTCTGGATGGCTAGCTGCACAGACAGGCACGCCCTGCAACCCCCAAAGACACAAAAAGCTGGTGGACTCCTCAGCTGTTCCCACTCCCACCACCTCAAAACACAGCCATCTGCAGCGCTGGAAGACGTTTTAATTCACTTTGTGGGAATGGAAGTGCGGGGTGGGGGGAGGGGACAGCTTGCTCCTTCATTACATGTTCCATCTCCTGCACCAGTCATGCCTGGGGGCGGTGTGCTTTGCCGGGCTGCACACATGAATAAGACAAGCACATTTCCAGGAACTTCACCGCGTGAATTCAAGGACTCTAAATGCTTATTAGCCACCCTGTCCTTCAAGCCAACCAAGTGCCCGCTCCCTTAGCTTCTGTCATTCTCCATGGCGGATGACTGCCGCCAGGTGCTGCTGAGATGGAATCTTGCTTCATTACGCTGCACCAACGGGACGGGCGGTCCAGTGTGTGAGCTCCAGGTTGCAGGCAGGGCACCCCGAGGGGAAACTCATATGGCACAAAGTCACGGCAGCACCGTGGAAATCAGTTTGTGCTGCACTGGCCCTAGCCAGCAGCCCACTGACTGCGCAGTTCAGTGGTACTTAGCCCTAACCCCAGAGATCATCCCTCTGTCCTCCAGCTGCAGGAAGGTGGGGGATTCGCTGTGGTTTCCTGATCCCAAGAGCCGTTTTGCATCAGCTCCAGAGGGTTAGAGAGGCTCCAAGACTTTTCCAGCTGCTCTCAGGGAGCCATCTGGATGCTGGGCATAGCCAGAGTAAAGCAGGCTATGCCATGTTCCCTCTCATTTTTCCCACCCATGTGCGGAATGAATTTTGTTATGTGCACCAATATGGAGGTGATGGGTGACACCTTCACATTGTACACATAACAAAATTCATGTGGTGGGGATAGGGCCAAGTGGTTAGGAGTGTGGGAGGGGGCTCAGCGCTAGGGCAGGGGGGTGGTGTGCAGGGGTGTGAGGGCTCCGGCTGGGGGTGTGGGCTCTGGGATGGGGCCGGGGAGGAGGGGCTCAGGACTGGGGCAGAGAAGTGGGGTGGAGGGTTGTGAAGGCTTTGGCTGGGGGTGTGGGCTCGGGTGGGGCCGGGGAGGAGGGGCTCAGGACTGGGGCAGAGACGTGGGGTGGAGGGTTGTGAAGGCTTTGGCTGGGGGTGTGGGCTCTGGGGTGGGGCTGGGGAGGGGCTCAGGGCTGGGGCAGAGGAGTGGGGTGCAGGGGTGTGAAGGCTTTGGCCGGGGGTACAGGCTCTGGGGTGGGGCTGGGGAGGAGGGGTTTGGAGTGGAGGAGGATGCTCCGGGGCTATAGTGGGGAGAGAGGGCTCCCCCCAGCGCTCTCTCCCCGCCACAGGAGCTCTGGGGCTGGAGCTACAGGATAGGTGCCCCTCCCCCTGCCCCAGCAGGTTCGGGTTGGGGGAGGGCTGCTACGGGGTCAGGCTGCTGCTGGGTCTAGGCCGCTCTGGGGCGGGGGCGGGCCTTGCTGCCCTGGCTGCGACTGGGTCCAGGCCACTCTGGGGCTGGCCCAGGCTGTGGCTGGGCCCGATCCGGCTGACCCGCCCCGGCAGGTCCCCGCTCCGGGCCGGTTCACTGAGTGCCTGTGCGGCGCTAAATAGGCTGCTGGCGGCCACGCGGCCATGCAGCTTACAGGGAACGTAGGCTACAGCAATGCCTCCTCCCCACCCCCTGCCAGAGGTGCTGTGGGAGGGTAGCAAGAAGCCAGCCAGGCTTGGGCACGGGAGTAGGACTTGCAACGAGAGGCCGGGGGTGACCTGAGCTGTGCTGCTCGCTGCCAAGCTGAGGCCAGGATTCTATCTAGGGAGGCCAATTCCGGCAGAGCATTCCAAACGCCCGGTGGAATGAGGACGACCTTGGGTGCTTCTACTCACTCAGCGGCCAGCTGGCCTCAGACC